CGTGCACGAGCTAAACATATTTCCATCAAACCGTGTTTGGCTCCCACTTTTACCCCCACCCCCCTTTCTAAAAAATGCTAATGGATCATTAACAAAGAAGAAGCACGAACAATGGAGATAAAGTTGCTTTTGCGTGCTTTTGCGTTTTATTTTTCATATTTTAGCTCGAGTGCGGCCTTTTTTTCTCGGTTTTTATTTGTTATCGGAGCCAAAAACTCAGAGTTCAGCCCAAAGAAACAGGACGTGGCTTCAGATTTGGTTTAATTTGCTTTGTTGGAAGATGGAATGTCTTTATTCATAAATCTCTGCTCTATTCTTTCTTTTATTGAGTTGATATTTATCCCTTTTCCGTGTATTTATTTATCCCTTTTTGAACGTATTTCTTTATCCTTTTCAGCCATTTATTTAAGCCATTTTCTAGGTTTCTATTTATCCATTTTTCGATGGATTCATCCCCCCATATTTCCTCATTCGTTCACCCCTTTATTAAAGTATCTATTTATTTATTCATTTTCCAAGGGGTGCATTTAACTATTTGTCTACCAGCTGAAAACTATAATAAAATTATTATAAACGATCCAAATCTTTGTTTTAGAGAGGGGAAACATTAGTTTTAGTTTGAGTAAATAAGTTGCCTTTTTTCTCTGATATTTTGGAGCAACTTTAAGACGATCTCTCGCGTTTTTAACAGCGTGTAAATAATTTCCCTTTGGGATGATTAAAGCATTTCTGATTGTGAAGTGTTTCCCACATTTGTGAGCAACTTTAAGACGATCTTTCGTGTTTTTATCTGCGTGGAAGAGTGACCAACCTGCGGAGGGCCGGTCTGATACCGGGAGATGAACGATTATAAACGAGCCAAATCTTTGTTCACAGAGGGGAAGTTTGAGTCAATAAGTTGCCTTTTTTCTCTCATATTTTGGAGCAACTTGAAGACGATCTCTGGCGTTTTTAACAGCGTGGAAATAATTCCCCTCTGGGATTATTGAAGCATTTGTGTGAATTTCCCGGATTATTAAAGCATTTCTTTAACAGACCCACCTGCGGAGGGCCGGTCAGAGTACCGGGTGCAGTAGACCCAGGCCGGCCAGAGCCTGGCCTCCCCCGGGCCCGGGTCCCGTCCCAGCCCGGGGTCCTGGTCCCGGTCCTGGTCCTGGTCCTGGTCCCGTCCCGGTTCCACGGCCTTCCCGTCCAACGCGCGCTCCCGCGCCCCTGGCCGCGGCCGCGCGCAGCCCGCGTCCCGGCGGCCGAAGTCCGGCCTCAGGATGGTGTCGATGGAGAAGTTGGTGATGGAGTGGGACATCTGGGGGCCCGCGGGGGGGGCCTCCTCCTCCGGGTCTGGACCCCCGTTTCCCTCCATCATGAAGAGGCCGGATCCGGGTCCAAATCTGGGCTCCCTCTCCCCTCTCTAAATAACACTTCCAGCGTGCTGACTGCTGCCCTCTGAACTCCAGGAGTAAATAAATAAGCAAAAACAAAATGGCGATGAGAGGATCCGTCCAATTTTGTTAGAATAAAATAAGTAGTGTCTTCCTCCCCCCGAGAAGATCCTTTCAATTTTGTTCAAATAAAAATAGAAATAGTGTCTTCCTCCCCCCGACGAGATCCTTCCAATTTCGTTAGAATAAAATAAGTTGTGTTTTCCTCCCCCCGAGGAGATCCTTCCAGTTTAGCTAAAATAAAAATAAAAGTGGTGTTTTCCTCCTCCAGCCCTTCCCCGGAGGCCTGAGGCGGACTGAGGCTGTTCCGGGTCCGGAATAAAGGCACCGCTCACACACTTTGACTACAGGTTTTTGGAGCTCGTTTCTGATTGGCTGCGTGACCCCACGGTGACGTAGTACTATACGGGGCTTTCAGACACGTGCCTCTGGCCAATGGGGTCTGAGGGGGCCGGGTCACGTGATGTTTTAGGGGTTCCCTCAGGGCACGGAGGGGGCCAATCCGCACGTTCAGGGGCGTGATGCGTTCAGGGGCCACTTCCGGTGACGCGCAGCTGCGGGCCGTGACGTCAGCAGGAGAAGTGTGACGTAGCGATGAGCCTCCAGGTGGAGGAGAGGGTCCAGTAGAAACACACACACACACACACACAGAGAAACACACACAGAGACACACACATGCACACACACACACACACACGCACACACACACACATATATACACACACAGACACACAGACACACATACACACAAACAGCCTTACACTCACATACACACAGACACACACAGACACACACACACACACAGATAGACACAGACACACACACACACTCACACACACACACAGACACAAACTCACACACACACAGACACACACAGACACAAACTCACACACACACACAC